CAGTGGCTAAGAAATAGGTTCTAGTGTCAGATTTCCTGGATTTGAATCCTGACTTTTATCCTTTCCAGCACTCAAGACTTGGGCAGGTTACTTATCTTCTGAGTTTTAGTTTCCTAATTGGCAAAGTGGGAAAAATAATAGTTCCTACCTCACTTAAGTAGGAATTAACTGAGTTAATATATTTAGTAGCATAGTACATATTAAAAATAAATGTTACTTATTACATGACTATAACTATTACTGATTAAGAGTAGGAAAATTTTAGAATAAAAATGTTAGCATATTTTGATATGAAATGTTTAAAATGGAATGATGACTGCTTTATCAAGCAAGTTTTCTTAATCATTCAACACCTTTACAGTTCCCACCCCTTTCACTTGAGTCTACTCTGAGAAAATTGATGCCAGCATGTATAAACCACCACAACTTCCCATCATTTCTACATACTTACATACATTTCAGTTATACTTACTCTTGCCTTCTTGCTGTTGAAATAGAGATTATTACATATGATCAGTTTTACTACCATCTGTGCACATGTCCTCATCTCTCGTCTGCTTAAGAGCCATGCTCCATCATTTATTCACTTCCCCAGATTCTTCAACTATTATCTCTCTGCGGGGTCCTTTCCTTCATCATAGCTTAGTGCATAGTAAGTACACAAAAATGTTGAGTGTTAACAAGAATAGTTAAGAATTTGGGGCATTTAATGTTTTTTAGATGGACTGTCCCAGAGCCAAGCCAGGATATATCCCTGGGAAGGCAGGCTGGAGTGGGTGCTGTTATTATTTACACACCCGCTGGTACTCTCTCAGTTTCCAAACGAACTTTAAAGTTAGGTCTCTTTTAAATGTTATGCATTTAACATTTTCTCTTCTTTCCGTGGATAGGAAAAGGTGGTGGTGTTTGTTTGCTGTTGGATCTTTTAAAAATTTAGTGAAATAGTGTTTAAGGTTATGAAAAGATTTTTTCAATGATTCTGCCTACTATTCAGAAAAGACTGTTATTTATGAACACTGACAGCCTTCCCAGCTAGTCACGTCAGGAGATATCAGATCTCATTGTACACCTATTACCGATTCAAGAACCACTACAATTCTCAGTGATGCTGACTTCTTCATTATGAACGTTTAATATTTTTTTCTTTGCTTACCAGAAACGTGATCTATGTGTTTCATTTTGGTTACCCGTAACAATGGCCTTCTGCGTGTAAATCAGGATGTTCTCAGCTTTTTCCATCAGCTGTTTTAGAGTTTGACTGTCTCAGGTCAGCTGAGGTAATCACTTCGTGGCCACATTGGCTCTTAGCTTTAGCAAATTTGTTGCTTTCTTATTTCTTCTCTCTCATCCTTTCCTGCTGGCGTAGGACTTTGACTAATTGTTTTAATGCCGAAGTTTTGGAAGGGGAGTAAAGTTAGTTGCATGTGATCAGTCTACCATCATTCAAATCTATCAGACTGTTGATTTCTAGACAATTAATCTTGTACCCTACTCCTGCAGTAATTCTCTTGTTTAGTTCTGTGGGGTGGTGTTCGCTTGATTCTTGTTTCTCTCCTATTGATCATCTACTCGGTTCGTTAGTGCGCCACCGTTCAGATCACAATACACCCGGTTTGATACATTCAGCAAAAATCCCCCACGGTTAAGTGTCCTGGGACAATATCGAACCGCCTGCCCACAGAGCAGTGCCTTACAACTTGTTGTCAATGCAACAACCTTCAGAGGAAAAAGCTATGAGATGGTTTCTAAAAGTAGTCTACCCAGAGTTTAATAGCAATAGGTCAAGTACCCTTTATTTACTGTCTGATTTTAGTGTTAACGTCATTATGCTTTATCCTTGAATCTAAATACCCCGCTGTTAAATGTACAAGGTTGTTACCCCATTCCTCTAGGGCCCCTAGTTTGAATTTAAGCATCATTGGCTGGTTTTCAGCGCTCTCTTGTGTAGCCTGGTAACTATATTCCGCACCGCTTCTCACGTGCAGATTTTCCTTAGATTTTAGCTTGACTGTATGGCTTTTAGTAGTAATTCTCATTGTACCAGCGCGATACTTAAATTGCATTAAACACTTAATAGTCATACGCTACATTTGTCGGATGATACACCCCAACTACCATACAGCAACGATCAGGTAAAATGTTTTGAAATTAATTTAATGTAACGGGGTGGGTGCGGTGGCTCAGCGCCTGTAATCCTAGCTCTCTGGGAGGCGGCCGAGGCAGGGCGGATTGCTCGAGGTCAGGAGTCTCGGAAACCCGCCGCCTGAGAGAGTGGCGCATCCTGCTCTCTACTATCAAATAGAAAGAAAATTAATTGGGCCAACTAATACACTAGTACCGAAAAGAATTAGCCGGGCATGGTGGCACATGCTGTAGTCCCAGCCCCTTGGGGCAGGCTGAGGCGAAGGATCACTTGAGCCAGGAGGTTTAGGTTGCTGTGGACCTACCGCTCACACAACGGCCATGGCAGCTCGACTCTAGCCTGGGCAAGCAAAGCGAGCTCTGTCTCAAACAAAAAAAAAAAAATTAATTTAATTAGGCATTTTTAAACTCCTTGGATTTAGGCAAAGCATTTGCCTAAAACTACTCTGATTGGAAAGGGATTTAAATGATTTTTAGCACTTCATTAATGTGGTTCAGGCAATATGCTAGGGATTTGCACGTCCAATTGTCTCATTAAACCATTTGAAGTCAGCCTCGCGCCCGTGGCTCACACCTGTAATTCCTACACTTTGGGAGGCCGTGGCAAGGAATCACTGTGAGCTAAGACTTGCAGTTTCAAGACCAGCTGAGCCAAGCAGCCAGACCCGTCTCTACAAAAAATAGAAAAAATTAGCTAAGGCATGGTGGTTGTGTGCCTGTAGTCCTAGCTTCTTACTCCGAGAGGCTGAAGGCAGGAGGATCACTTGGCCAGAATTTGGGGTTGTAATGAGGAATTTTGAGGTTGCACGTGACAGCAGATGCATTCTACACCAGGCTACTGATCGAGACCTGTCTGCAAACAAACAACATAACCAACTTGAAGGTCACCATATTGTTGTTTTCATTTGGCAGTTTACAGTTAGAAACAAAACTTGATGGAAGTAAAACTAAATTTTGCTCAGTGGTCCATAGCTAATTTGCTAACACAGGAAATTCATCGTTTTCCTGAACAGTGTTATAGAAATAGGACTCTTCTGTCGTCTTGTGTTATGGACTTCGAGAAACTCGTTTATGGTTAGAATTCCAACACAATGGCTTGAGTATGGTTTAGATTTTCATAATCGGACTGTAAAAGTAAGTGATGAAACCTTAATCTTTGTTGTCAGCAGGAAATACTGGCAGTGAGCCTAAGTACTGAAGAGTGCCCTATCTATTTTCTGTGAAAACGAGTAAAATACGCGAATTAGTGGCCACATGGATCACGTGGGAGTCGTTTTTTTCTCTCTTCCAGAAATTTGTTTTTTTCTTGTTTTCTAAAGTTTTTTATTAATAGAAAGGACTGAAAAGAAAATTTCATGTTATGAACTCTTTATATTTTTTATTAATTTCAGTTTTTTATTTACAGAACTGAATTTTATTGCCCTTTTTTCCTTGAAAAAATTGAAACGCTCAATGAACTAAGCTTTAATTGGATTGAAATGTTCTTAAATCATGAACCAATTTTTTTGTTTCTTTTATTAAACATGTCTTTTTTTTTCGTTTTTTTTTTTTTGCAGACAGAAAAAGTCTTCACTTTTGTTTTTGTCCAGGCACGAAAAAAGTCGAGTTTTGCCGTGGCGTCAGCCTAGCTTTCAAACAGCAAAACCTCAAAACTCCTGGGCCTCGCAGCTATCCTTCTTGGCCCTCAGCCTCCGAAACAAACGTAGGCTGGGATACAGGCCATTGTGCCCACTTATGGGCCCCGTTCTAATTTTTTTATATATATAATCCGCTAGTTGGCCAATTATTTGCTTTGCTATCTTATATAGAGACGGGGTGTTTGCTCGCTCTTGCTCAGGCTTGGTTTTTCGAACTCCTGACCGTTGAGCAAATCGCGCCCGCCTTCGGCCTGCCGCAAGGAGCCTAGGGAAATTTAGAGGCGTGAAACGGCCACACGGCCTGGGGCGCTGTAAAACATTCCTTTTTAAACTGGTCGCCTTAAGTTTTTATGTTCTTTTTATCTTTATAGACAGCCTTATTTGAAATATTGATTTTTTACAAATTTTTAATTTAGTTGGCTTTAATCTTATAAAAAGAATAAGTGATTTTTTTTTTTTTTTTTTTTTTTTTGAGACAGAAGTCCTCGCTTGTTTGCCCAGGCCTAGAGGGAGTGGCGTGGCGCGGCCTAGCTCACAAGCAACCTCAAACTCCTGGGGCTCCAGGGAATCGCTGCGCTGCTCAGCTTCGCCGAGATAGCTGGGAGCTACACAGGACAATCCGCGGCCACGCGATTCGCCGGCTTTATTTTTTTTTTTATATATATTTCAGCCGTGCCAAATATTTTGCTTTCTATTTATCAGTGCAAGGACACGGGGTCTCGCTCTTGCTGCAGGCTGGTTTTGTGCGAACTCGCTGAACCTTGAGCAACTCCGCCGCCGCTCGGCCTCCCCAAGAGCTAGGATCCAAGCTCGAGCCAACAAGCGCCCGGCAACCGATAGTCAGTTGTAATCCCGCCGACAACCGCCAGGGCGAGACGCAAGAGGCAGCGCTGCATCTTTACGTGGAGTCTTGGAAATCGTTCAGCACCATGACGTCCGCCGAAGACGTAGGTGTAGACTAGGAACAAAAGACGAGGCCCTCGAGGAGGCGGCCCGGGGCGAGCCCTCCCCGGGGCGCGCGGCGCCGTCCGCTCCGGGCTCGGCTCCCGGGCGCGGGGCCGCTCCCCGCGGGGGCCGCCCCGGGCGGGCGAAGCGATGGAGCGGGCTGTAGAGGGGAGCCTCCACCGACCGTTGAGGACCAGGGGACGGTGGCAGGCGGTGGAGAGGCCGGGGGAGGCTGGGGCAGGCCGAGCGCCCGGGGCCGCCGACAGGAGGCCGGCGGCGCCGCGGGACGCCCCGGGGCAGGCCCCGGCCCCGCCATCGGGCGGGAGCCCAGCTCCAGGGGAGCCCGCCGCTCCCTCCATCTTGGTTGTGGAGACGGGCGGCGTCTGGGGCTCTCCACCGTCGCGCCTGTCCCCCACGGCCCGGCGGACGCAGACGCCGGAAGCTGGGGCTGTTCCCTCGGCCGAATGGCAGGGCCCAGTCGGGGCTTCGCGGGGACAAGTGTCCCGGCCCCACGGGGGTTGGTTTTGAATGGGTCCCAAGTTCCCACAGCAGTTCCGACAAAATGGAGGACGTCGTCTCCTCCTGCTGCAGCCATGACGGGAGGTGGGGGGACTATTCCCCACGGGGGCGCGGCGAGGCTGGAAGTGCCCCCACCGCCCTCAGAGCGCCCGAGGGGCCACTTCGCCCGCGGCCCCGACTGTCCAGTGGGCCCCGCTCCAGCCCCTCCCCGGTCTCGCCCCTCGCGGGGGGCTTCAAGGAACTGGACAGGGAGGGCGTTGGGGCATCGAGGCCGCGCCTCTCCTCGGGCAGAGTCGTGGGGAGCCGCTGCAGCGGCCTGTGCGCCCGGACGAGGGCGAGGGCGAGGGCGAAGGCAAGCCGTCCCGCCCGTCTCGAGCTGTCCCCAGCCCGGAGAGCCCACTGCCCCAGGGGCCGGGCGGAGGCCGGTGTGGGCAGGCGAAACTCGGGCTCCTGACCCTAGCGGACCTGGCGGGTGAGGGTGGGGGAAACAGCGGGGAGCCTAGGACTGCCGGACTAGGGAGTACAACGGCATGGCCGGGGGTGTGGCTCGCCCTGACGGACAGCCCCGCAGACTACCCTACCAAGGGGGTTCCTGAAAGACGGCAGGTACAGCCAATGGGTGTGCCCGAGGCACCTCGGCCCGCCTTCCCCGCTAGCCAATGAGCGCGCGGAGGGCGGGGTGTCTCCGGACTCGGCCGCGCCGCCGCTGCCGCCTCCGCCGCCTACTCCTCCTCAGTGCTAAAGCCGAGACTGGACCGGGCGGAGTTGTGCGTGTCGCCGAAGGCGGGGGTGGGTCGTGGGAAGAAAGGTTCGTTCAGAGGACCCGCAGCCAGAACCGGGTGAGGCTTATCCCCGCGGTCTTTCCAGTCCAGGGCCGCCGAGAGTGGGGGTGGCTGGGAGCAGCGCAGCCTCTGGAGGCGGAGGCGGAGGCGGAGATGGGTGAGGGCAGCCTCCGGAGCCTCCCACCCACCCGGGATTAATGCCCCGCGGCGCGGCCGCCGTCGCTGCTGCTGCGTCGGGGCCTCGGGGGCTGCGAGAGTGCGGGCGAGGCCGGGAGGGCTGGGTGGTGAGGTGGGCCCCGGAGGCGGGCGTCGCGGGGTATTTTCCTTTCTCTCCTGAGGGGGAGGGCCGCCCCGTTCGGCTCTCGGGGCTGCACGCCCCCCCTCGTCCGCCCGAGCCGAGGTCCCCAAGTTTTTCGGGGTGAGGGTTGCTGCTACTGCCTCGCCGTGTACCCTCCTTCGCTCTTCTCTTCCCCGGCGCCGCGCAGCTTTTTACTCTACTTTTTTTGGGAGAGTGTCTCATGGCGGACCTTGAACCAGGCATGGAGTGCAGGGCGGGCAAATCCTGCGCGCCGGGCAGCTGCGTGGGGCAAGTGTGGGCCCAGCTCGGTTGCGTGAGCCGCCCCTTACTCCTGAATTGGCGCCGAGAATGACGGGGGACGCTGGGTGGGTACACTGAGGAGGAAATAAAAATCCCTTGCTAACGTCTAGGCAACGTTTGCCCTTTTCTGGGAGCAGGCTTGGTGCCCTCAGCCCACCCCATCCTTCCCAATTCTGTAATTGGAAAAAGATTTATTTTGTGTTGTCGTTCCGGTTCCTATCGTTTTTTCTAACTTGGTTTCTCCGCAATGTTTGGGTGGGGGAGGATAACAGAGCGCTGAAACTCCTTGACCTCTTATCCCATATCCGTTTTCCTCCTTCCTCTCCGTGTTGCGAAGTTGATGCCGAGTCCAGATTAGTCGTCACGAAATCATTCCTCATTCTAGGAGCAGGAATCACCTTCAAGCCAATCTAGTGAAGATTTGGCAGAAATTAAGTGTGTTCTTCCTGTGGTATTTGCCTTTGTGTTGTCTTGCAGGCCTTGGCCTTCCAGCTAATTTAATTGTTTTTTAGATGGACCTGTCCCCAGAGCCAAGCCAGGATAATCCCTGGGAAGGCACTGGGAGTGGGTGCTGTTATTTATTTACACCGCTGGTACTCTCTCAAGTTTCAAAACAGAATTTAAAGTTAGGTCTCTTTTAAATGCTTTGCATTTAACATTTTCTTCTTCCTTTCCAGTGGATAGGGAAAAAGGTGGTGTGTGTTTGTTTGCTGTTGGATTTTTAAAAATTTAGTGAATAGTTTTAAGGTTATGAAAAAGATTCTTTTCAATGTATTTGCCTTCTATTTGATAAAGACTGTTATTTATGTACACTGACAGCCTTCCAGCTAGCATCACGTCAGGAGATATATAATCTCATTGTCACACTATTACCGATTCTAAGATAACCACTAAATTCTCAGTGACTGCCTGATCTTCTTCCATTATGAAGTTAATATTTTTTTCCTTTGCTACCAGAAAGTGATCTATGTGTTCATTTTGGTACGGTACAAATGCCCTTTCTGCAGTGTAAATCAGGATGTTTCTCAGCTTTTTCCATCACTGTTTTAGAGTTTGACTGTCTCAGGTCAGCTGAGGTAATCACTTGTCCACTTGCTCTTAGCTTACAAAATTTTGTTGCTTTTATTTCTTCTCTTCATCCTTTCCTGGTGGGTAGGACTTTGACTATTGTTTAGCCGAGTTTTGGAAGGGAGTAAAGTTAGTTGCATGTGATCAGTCTACCATATTAAATCCTATCAGACTGTTGATTTCTAGACAATAATCTTGTACCTACTCCCTGCAGTAATTCTCTTGTTATTTGTGGGGGTAGTTCAGTTGATTCTTGTTTCTCCTATTTCATTACTTTCGTTAGTACCTTCAGAATCACAATACACCTTTATATTAAGAAAAATCTGTTAGTTCTGGGACAATATGAATCCACAGAGATGCCTTACAACTTGTTGTAAATGCAACAACCTTCAGGGAAAAAAAACTATGAGATGTTTCTAAAAGTAGTCTACCAGAGTTTAATACAATAGGTCAAAGTACCTTTATTTATGTCTGTTTTAGTGTTAAGTCTTATCTTTATCCTTAATTAAATACCCTGTTAAATGTACAAGGTTGTTACCCATTCCCTAGGGATAGGTTGAATTTAAGCATCTTGCTTGGTTTTCAGCCTGTTTGTGTAGTGGTAATATATTGACCTTCTCTGTGCAGATTTTCCTTAGATTTTACATTGATGTATGGTTTTTAGTAGTAATTCTCATTGTACCATATTAAATCAATTAAACATTAAATAGTTATAATTTGTGGATGAATAACATACCATAAGAAGATCAGGTAAATGTTTAAAATTAATTTAATTAAGGCTGGGTGCGGTGGCTCACGCCTGTAATCCTAGCTCTCTGGGAGGCCGAGGCAGGCGGATTGCTCGAGGTCAGGAGTTCGAAACCAGCCTGAGCTAGAGTGGGATCCTGTCTCTACTATAAATAGAAAGAAATTAATTGGCCAACTAATATATATAGAAAAAATTAGCCGGGCATGGTGGCACATGCCTGTAGTCCCAGCCACTTGGGAGGCTGAGGCAGAAGGATTGCCTGAGCCTAGGAGTTTGAGGTTGCTGTGAGCTACGCTAACGCCATGGCACTCACTCTAGCCTGGGCAACAAAGCGAGACTCTGTCTCAAAAAAAAAAAAAAATTAATTTAATTAGGCATTTTTTAAACTCCTTGGATTTAGGCAAAGCATTTGCCTAAAATACCTTCTGATTGGAAAGGGATTTAATGATTTTTACACTCATTAATGTGGTTCAGGCAATATGCTAGGGATTTGCACGTCCAATTGTCTCATTAAAACCCTTGAAGTCAGCCCTGCGCCGTGGCTCACACCTGTAATCCTAGCACTTGGGAGGCCGTGGCAGGATCACTTGAGCTCAAGACTGAGTTCAAGACCAGCCTGAGCAAGAGCCAGACCCCGTCTCTACAAAAAATAGAAAAATTAGCTAGCATGGTGTGTGTGCCTGTAGTCCTAGCTTCTCTACTCGAGAGGCTGAGGCAGGAGATCACTTGAGCCCAGGAATTTGGGGTTGTAGTGAGGAATTTGAGGTTGCAGTGACACAGATGCATTCTAACCCAGGCTACTGATCGAGACCCTGTCTCAAAACAAACAAACATAACAACCTTGAAGGTCACATATTGTTTTCATTTGCAGTTTACAGTTAGAAAACAAAAACTTGATGGAGTAAAATAAATTTGCTCAGTGTCCATAGCTAATTTGCTAAACAGGAAATTATCTGTTTTTGAACAGTGTTATAGAAATAGGACTTCTTTGTGGTCTTGTGTTTATGGAATTGAGAAACTGTTTGATGGTTAAATTCCAAACACAATGGCTTTGAGTAGTGGTTTAATTTATAATCTGGGACTTAAAAGTAAGTGAATGAATACTTAATCTTTGTTTCAGAGGAAAATGACTGCAGTGAGCTAAGTATGAAGAGTGCCCTATCATTTTCTGTGAAAAGAGTAAAATAGGAATTAGTGGCCACTGGGATACTGTGGAGTCAGTTTTATCTCTTTCCAGAAATTGTTCTGTTCTAAGTTATTATATAGAAAGGACTGAAGAAATTCATGTATTAACCTCTTTTATATTTTATAATTCAGTTTATTTAGACTGAATTATTGCCCCTTTCCTTTGAAAATGAACCTCATAATAAGCTTAATGGATGAATGTTAATCATGATCCCAATTTTTGTGTTTCTTTTATAAACATTCTTTTTTTTTTTTTTTTTTTTTTTGAGACAGAGTCTCACTTTGTTGTCCAGGCTAGAGTGAGTGCCGTGGCGTCAGCCTAGCTCACAGCAACCTCAAACTCCTGGGCTCCAGTGATCCTTCTGCCTCAGCCTCCCGAGTAGCTGGGACTACAGGCATGTGCCACTATGCCCGTCTAATTTTTTATATATATATATCAGTTGGCCAATTAATTTCTTTCTATTTATAGTAGAGACGGGGTCTCGCTCTTGCTCAGGCTGGTTTTGAACTCCTGACCTTGAGCAATCCGCCCGCCTCGGCCTCCCAAGAGCTAGGATTACAGGCGTGAGCCACAGGGCCTGGCCTTAAACATTCTTTTAAACTGGTCCCTTAGTTTTGTTATTTCTTTATCTTTATAACAGCCTTATTTGAATATTGATTTTTAAAATTTTTAATTAGTTGGCTTATCTTAATAAAAGATAAGTGATTTTTTTTTTTTTTTTTTTTTTTTTGAGACAGAGTCTCACTTTGTTGTCCAGGCTAGAGTGAGTACGTGGCGTCAGCCTAGCTCACAGCAACCTCAAATCCTGGGCTCCAGGATCCTCTGCCTCAGCCTCCCGAGTAGCTGGGACTACAGGCATGCGCCACCATGCCCGGCTTTATTTTTTTTTTATATATATAATGTTGGCCAATTAATTTCTTTCTATTATAGTAGAGACGGGGTCTCGCTCTTGCTCAGCTGGTTTTGAACTCCTGACCTTGAGCAATCCGCCGCCTCGGCCTCCCAAGAGCTAGGATTACAGGCGTGAGCCCACAGCGCCCGGCCAAGATAAGTGATTTTTAAAAATTGTTTTCCTCATTCATTGCATATAATGCAGTGGCTAAGAAATAGGTTCTAGTGTCAGATTTCCTGGATTTGAATCTGACTTTTATCCTTTCCAGCACTCAAGACTTGGGCAGGTTACTTATCTTCTGAGTTTGTTTCCTAATTGGCAAAGTGGGAAAAATAATAGTTCCTACCTCACTTAAGTAGGAATTAATTGAGTTAATATATTTAGTAGCATAGTACATATTAAAAATAAATGTTACTTATTACATGACTATAACTATTACTGATTAAGAGTAGGAAAATTTAGAATAAAATGTTAGCATATTTGATATGAAATGTTTAAAATGGAATGATGACTGCTTTATCACAAGTTTTCTTATCATTCAACACCTTTACAGTTCCCACCCCTTTCACTTGAGTCTACTCTGAGAAAATTGATGCCAGCATGTATAAACCACCACAACTTCCCATCATTTCTACATACTTACATACATTTCAGTTATACTTACTCTTGCCTTCTTGCTGTTGAAATAGAGATTATTACATATGATCAGTTTTACTACCATCTGTGCACATGTCCTCATCTCTCGTCTGCTTAAGAGCCATGCTCCATCATTTATTCACTTCCCCAGATTCTTCAACTATTATCTCTCTGCGGGGTCCTTTCCTTCATCATAGCTTAGTGCATAGTAAGTACACAAAAATGTTGAGTGTTAACAAGAATAGTTAAGAATTTGGGGCCGGGCGCGGTGGCTCACGCCTGTAATCCTAGCTCTCTGGGAGGCCGAGGCGGGCGGATTGCTCAAGGTCAGGAGTTCAAAACCAGCCTGAGCAAGAGCGAGACCCCGTCTCTACTATAAATAGAAAGAAATTAATTGGCCAACTGATATATATATATAAAAAAATTAGCCGGGCATGGTGGCGAATGCCTGTAGTCCCAGCTACTCGGGAGGCTGAGGCAGAAGGATCGCTCGAGCCCAGGAGTTTGAGGTTGCTGTGAGCTGGCTGACGCCACGGCACTCACTCTAGCCTGGGCACAACAGCGAGATCTGTCCGAAAAAAAAAAAAAAAAAAAAGAATTTGGGGCCTATAGTTAGAGCTCTTGAGTTAAGTCCCACACAGACTTACCTAGAACAATTTGTTAGCTTCTCTAAGTGTCAATTTTCTAAACTGTAAAATAGAGTAAATTATACCTACCATCATGAAGGTCTGAGCTCATAGCATAATGCCTGACACAAAAGTACTTAAGCTTTCTGTACAAGGACAAGAAAGATGCAAAAAGATAATCACGTAGTTACATTGGAAGCAGAGATTTTGAAAAAACAATGACAAAAGATACTAAAGAAATAGGGATTGGACTGGATCCCAGATGCAGTAGTAGATGAAAGCAGATGGAAGCAGATGGACTATGTAAGTGTTAGAACCTTGGGTTATTGATACTTGACAGAATTATTTTGTTACTATTTTCAGGTTCAAAGGAAGACTTACGTATTTTTTCAATATAAAGAGTAAAGAGTAAATAGGCCGGTGCGGTGGCTCATGCCTGTAATCCTAGCACTCTGGGAGGCCAAAGTGGATGGATCACTCAAGGTCAGGAGTTCGAAACCAGCCTGAGCAAGACCCTGTCTCTACTAAAAATAGAAAGAAATTAATTGGCCAACTAAAAATATATATGGAAAACATTAGCCAGGCATGGTGACGCATGCCTGTAGTCCCAGCTACTCAGGAGGCTGAGGCAGAAGGATCGCTTGAGCCCAGGAGTTTGAGGTTGCTGTGAGCTAGGCTGATGCCATGGCCCTCTAGCCCGGGCAACAGAGAGACTCTGTCTCCAAAAAAAAAAAAAAAGGAGTAAATAGGTTGAAGTACTATAAATTGAATATTTTTTGAAGGACTACCAGAAATTACATCATTAATTTCCATCAAACTCCAAAGAAGTAAATATTAAATGGTTGACAGGAGAGGAAAAACAGGGATGAGTATCAGATATCACATAAAGAAAAGAATTTAAAATTTTACTTGTGTCATTTCATTGCAGTAAAATGCAAAAAAAAATGATTTAGTAGAACTTGTTTTTTTCTTTTCTCTTTCTCTTACAGGTTCTTTGGCATGGATAAATGCTCAGTGGGAGGATTAGAATTGACTGAACAGACTCCTGCTCTATTAGGGAGAACAACTATGACAGCTAGTCTCATGGACATAGGAGATTCATTTGGTGATCCATCTAGTCTTTTAGTCAATAGATCTAGCACCTCATCAATGGAAGATGATGATGATGATGATGTTGTATTTATTGAATCTATACAACCTCCTTCAGTTTCTGTTCCTGCGATAGCTGATCAAAGAAATTTTATATTTGCGTCATCAAAAAATGAAAAGCCACAAGGAAGTTATTCCGTAATTCTTCCTGCTTCAAGGGATTTGGCTTCTCAGAAGGGAAATATAAGTGAGACAATTGTTATTGATGATGAAGAGGATATAGAAACAAATGGAAGGGAGGAGAAAAATTCTTCTAGTTTTACTGAATGGGGACCTCCTAGAACTAAAAACAGAACCAAAGATTTGGATTTCTGCACTTCCAGTCATTCAAGAAGTAAGGTAAATGCAGGAATGGGTAATAGTGTTATCACTACAGAATCAACTCTGAAATACATATTACTAATATTACAACTGTAGAAACAGGTATAAGCTCTGTGAATTCTGGGCGAGATACGAACATAACGATTACACATATAACATCACTATAGAATTCCAACTTGGGAGATGTCGCTAAAGGACTTCAGTCAAGTAATTTTGGTGTTAATATACAAACATACACCCCATCTTTGACTTCACAGACCAAGACTGGAGTAAGGCCTTTTAATCCTGGTAGAGTGAATGTGGCAGGAGATGTATTTGAGAATGGAGGATTTGCAACTCATGGTCCTGGTAAGTAGTAAGTGTTGATATTTTCTTTCTACCTCAAGTAAATAAACTTTTGGCTGTTCCTTTTATTACTCATATCTGCTTTATTTACATCCTAAATGTGAAATATTTTATTTCTTTTGACTTTCATATTAAGATAAAATATTTTACTTACTAGAACTGTTCAGTCTACTTGGTTTCTGAAATTTGGGGAATTTAATCTGTTTTACCCAATGTGATTTACATCTAAAGTGTTTTAATTGAAAATCCCAGTAACTACTGTCCCCAGCCTTGTTTATTATAGTAAAAATCATAGGATAAAAAGATGGGTAGTCAACAGGAAGAATAAAGTAATATTATATAATAATTTAATTTAATCTGCATTATGTAACTTGAAGTTTCAGTTTTTGCTTTTTAAGCGTTTACTTTTGGACTGTATATCTCAGATTTTAAGTTTTGTTTTGTTTTGTTTTTTATGGTTTTTTGAGACAGGATCTCACTCTGTTACCCAGGCTTGAGTGCAGTGGTGTCATCATAGCTCACTGCAACCTCAAACTCCTGGGCTAGGCTTAAGCGATCCTCCTGCCTCAACTTTCCAAGTAGCTGGGACTACAGGTGTGGGCCACCACTCCTGGCTAATTTTTCTATTTTTTGTAGAGACAGAAGTTCCTGTTTTGCTCAGGCTGATCTGGAACTCCTGACCCCAAGTGATCTTCTCACCTCAGCCTCCCAAAATGCTGGGAGGATTCTATATAAACTAAAATATAGGATTTTAGTTTTTATTTTTTTCTATTTTTCTCTTTGTTTTCTTTCTTTTTTTTTTCCTGAGCTGTCTCTTATAACACAAAGGATTTTATTTTTTAAATCATCATTTTATTAGTTGTTTGATTTTAAAAGTTGGACAACTCTTGCCTTTAAATCAAAGAATTATTTTTAAAATTTTTATGTGGATAGTCCTATTCTGATAAAATATAACAGAAATTATTTAAAAATAACAATTCCCTTTTGTGGCTGGTCTTTTTGGGGTTTGTTTTTATCATCTTAGCCTGTTGAATTTTAGGAAAGGACTAAAAAGTAACTGAAGCCTAAGAGCCTAATCACTGTTGTTGCTTTAATGGAATGCTAGTGCTTTTTTCTTTAAAATCATTTCCTCTGATTATGAGAATACTATGTGATTATTACAGAATATTTGGGAAAAAAATCATAGAAGTAAGAAAATAATGTCACCTTAGCCCAATTACTGTTAAGATTTTGGTTGGTTTTCAGTCTTTTGCTCTGTGGTTTTATTTATTTATTTATCTATTTATCCATCTATCCATTCATCCTTGGAATTTCCCAATTATTAGAAGTATCCGTGCTATATTTATGAGCCCCTTGGCTCGTACCTAAATTTATGGTAAAAGATGAAATGACTCCGGATGGGGGCTGGTCACCAGAAAGATCAGCCAGGTGATTAGACAGTTGAGTCTTTGAGCTAGCCCAGACTCGGGGAGGGAGCCTGGACACTGAGTTCAGTCATTTGGCCAATGATTTGATCAGTCATGCCTACTCAGTGAAACCCCAATAAAACTACTCTAGACATTAATGCTCAGTGTAGCCTCTTGGTTGGTGAAAACATCAGTATGCCAGGAGGATGATGCTACTGATTCCACAGAAAGCCGACCCAAAGGCTCTGCACTTTGGACCCTTCCAGGCCTTGCCATGTGTGTCTCTTCATTTGGCTGTTCCTGGTTTGTATTTTTTATAATAAAACTATTATCATAAGTATAGAGCTTTCCTGAGTTCTTTGAGTTATTTTAGCAAATTATTGAACCTTGGGAATTTCCCAGATTTGTAAGCAATCAGAAATGCAGGTGGTATCTAAAGGGAGAACAGTCCTTTCCTTTTTTTTTCTTTTTTTTTGAGACAGAGTCTCACTTTGTTGCCCAGGCTAGAGTGCCATGGCATCAGCCTAGCTCATAGCAACCTCCAACTCCTGAACTCAAGAGATCCTTCTATCTCAGCCTCCTGAGTAGCTGGGACTACCGGCATGTGCCACCATGACCGGCTGATTTTTTCTCTATATTTTCTCTATATTTTTAGTTGGTCAATTAATTTCTTTGTATTTTTAGTAGAGACGGGGTCTCACTCTTGCTCAGGGTGGTTTAGAACTCCTGACTTTGAGCAACCACCTGCCTCAGAGTCCTAGGATTACAGGTGTGAGACACCGTGCCCCGCCGGGAGGATAGTCTTGTTGGGGACCATGTCTTTGAACTTGTGCAGGTGTACCAGTTGGTGTTGAAATAACATCCATAAGTGAAAGTGATACTTTTCTTTTTTGCAAGTGCATGATAATGGAAACTATTTTCTAGTAATACAATTTGGTTCCACTGCCAGCAGTTGCTTTTATACTGTTAGTACAAATGCCAACACAGTGAAAAAAGCAAATAAATCTTGGTATTATTATAGAAGGAGTTTGGCCTTGCACAATCCTATTTTTCTAAATACAAGGCAGAATGGAAGTGGTAAGAATATAAAACCTGGCCGGGTGTGGTGGCTCACGCCTGTAATCCTAGCACTCTGGGAGGCCGAAGGGCGGGCGACTTGCTCAGGTCAGGAGTTCCGAAACCAGCCTGAGCAGAGCGAGACCCCGTCTCTACTATAAATAGAAAGAAACTAATTGGCCAACTAATATATATAGAAAAAATTAGCCGGGCATGGTGGCGCATGCCTGTAGTCCCAGCTACTTGGGAGGCTGAGACAGAAGGATCGCTTGAGCCCAGGAGTTTGAGGTTGCTGTGAGCTAGGCTGACGCCACGGCACTCACTCTAGCCTGGGCAACAAAGTGAGACTCTGTCAAAAAAACAAAACAAAAAAAAAAAAAACCTTTAGAAAACCCAGAGAACATTGTAAATTTATCCATACTTCACAGACAATACAAATTCATTGCCTATATATAAAATAGTTTAAATGTTATAAAGAACTTTTGCTTCATTTATACGAATGAGTGTCAAAGGGTTTATTTAATGCATTTAGTCTTTGTTAACATTTTAAAATTATTGATACTTCATGTAATGAGAAAAATCAGAAATATAAAATATTTTAGATTATAAGATAAAAGGATGACAATAATAAAAATAAATCCAAGAGTAATCAAGACTGCTTTCAAATAACCTTGGCAATTGTCAATTACGCTCACAATTTGAGTGGAATGATAGTATTGTATCTAACCACAGTATGCTTTTTAATAGTTAAGTATTAGTCTATATCATGCTTTTATATTGAAAAAACATCTATTCACCAATATCCACCATTAAAATATACATCAATTGCTCCAGAAGGTGAAAACTGGTCTTGAAGACTAAAACAAAAGAAAATTCATGCAATGCTTCTAGCTGAAACTCCACTAAAGAGCTTCTTTTATTTATAATAAAATTCATGTTATATAAACAAGCATGAATAACATCTAAACAAGCAATAAATAAATATCTGAAATTTAGGCAATAATTACAAAAGTATCTCGTAAAAGAAATAAACAGACCCTAAAGGATGATTTTCAATGTACATTATTTCAAAGTCTTCAGTACCTTCTTCCTTGTTTTTAAGTTTAACATATCTTTCAATATAGAGATCACAAGATTTTGTTATTCTCAGGTTTAAATATCAATAACAAAAGATGTACATAGTAATAAATGGATGGCAGACAATTTAAGCAAATTCATTAAAAAGTTGCAAATATATTTGTAAAAGGTTAATAATACGCAAATTAAGATGATTCCACCTTTTAATCTAGCAAACTTTAGATAATATTCTACACCTGAAGAGTGCTTACAATATGGAAAAAAAAACTCTTCTTTTTTTCTACAGACAGCACTGAAAAAGAACTCTTATGTTGTAAGAAACTAATACAAGTTTTGGTGGGAGAATTTTGCATTAACCATCCAAGTTAAAAATTATGTTGACTTCTGACAGCAAATCTACCTCTAGAAACTTTTCAAGAAAGGAAGTGTGCCAAATCACAAAATGCTCACAAGAAACTTTGTTACAATTTCAAAGAGTAGAAATAACCCCAACAAAAACAATAATAATTAAAGATATATTATTTGCATCAAACTTTATCAAAAATAATATTTGATATGCGCTAATAAATGTCCAATGGGGGTTCATCTCATGGCTATCACAAAACCTGGGAACCATCCAGTTAATATTGTTCTAGGAGAAGACACTCTAAAGAATGTTTTATATACACCCCCAGGTAGCCTTTATTCTACAACTATGTTAATAAATTAGCCATAAATGCTGATAATTTCTTTGCATGTAAAAAGTAATTTCTTTCTAATATTATCTCATCTCTTGACCTTTTCTGAATGTGTCTGTTAAGGAAGACTATGGGAAGTATAATCATCTATCAGTCTCTCCTATCTCGTTCTATGAGAATTGCTCACTAATTAGTAGTTAAGTATTGATGCTCATGAAAGACGAAGTGTCAAGATGCTCTGGGGATGCCACATCAATGCCAATGTCATCAGCCTAGCCTCACAGCAAACCTTACCCGCAAAACTCCCCTGGGGGGCTCAATAGATAGCCAATTTCCTAAATCCTATTTGGGGCCTCAGCCCCTGAGTAGGCTGCGGACTAAGCAGCAATTGCACCACCAGCCCAGTAATTTTTTCTATATCATTATTAGTTGGGCCAATTAATTCTTTCTTAATTATTAGTAGAGATTGGGGTCACTCTTGCTCAGGCGAGGGGGTTCAGAAACTCCTGGACCTCGGCAATCTTGGCCCGGGCCTCGGGCCTCCCAGGTGGAGTGCTAGGAGGCTGAGGAAGGATTGCTGTGAGCTAGGCTGACTCCATGACACTCTAGCCCAGGTAATGGAGTAAGACTCTGTCTCAAAAAAAAAAAAAAATAGAAATGATGATGACAGCATAGTTACTGTAAAATTGAACAAGTAGAACCTAATTCTAATTTTGTTATTGTATGTGACCACTTGGAGTTTTCGTCTGCTTAGAATTTCAAACAATAAAACAGAATGCAAGCTGCA